TAAACTGCATCAACTCTCCCTGCTTGCAGTGTTCCAAAGAGGAGCTGCAAAAGGAAGCCAGAAAACAAAAGAAAGTGGACAATATAGAGTATGGCCAGAAAATGTTTTTATTTCTGTAATTATTGGTTTATATAGATTAATATTTTAGTTAGTTCATGATTATTTTAGGAGAAAATACAGAATGAAAGTCGAGTATCATAAGAAGCAGATAGCTGAATGTATAGCCATCGGTAAAGTGAAATTAACAAATTATCTGCATGAAAACAGCTGCTGTCCCACAGCTGCTTTTGCAAGCTGTGGTTCTTCATTTGTTAAGACGTGATGGCTTGTCTGGAGCTGGCCTCCGTGCCAAGCACACTGAACCGGACCGAGATTAAACTGTAAACTCAGCCTCATTAGCATCCTGAGCTCACCCATTTGCCTAAACGTGATTACGTAAAAGTTTCATTGAATTTTGAATTTACGGAAGAAAAGAGTCGTTCACCTGGAAATCACTCTGACAATGTGAAGAACCAAAAAAGACTGTGATAACAAGGTCAGTGGAGGCTACACACCAGCACCTCCCATCTTGGCAGGTTTCACTCTGAAGGGTGAGGCATCAGTTAAAATTGTGAACATTTTTAAATTCGGAATAGCATAAAGGTGAAATAGATACTTGATTATCTGGGGAAATCCTGGAAATATAATATTTATAATTATCTCCACCCTGGCTGATTTCCTACAACAATGTCAGCATGTGCAAGTCCTGACCATTTATCTTTTGCATTTTGTGAGCGAATATGTTGCTCAGATCCAGACTGACCAAGGGCTGAAAATCCCATGCCTGTCACCCTATAGCTGTGTTTTGAGTACACCCTTTAAATCTATCTTGCCTTAAGTATATTAGTGGGTTTAATGATGGTTACTTTGTAGGTTTATTGTAAAACTTGAAGATACTATTAGTAACCTCATGGATACCTATTCTAGTTTCCTGTTTTTCCATTAGTCTACTCAAATTGTACAAAACGCCTAGCAAGCTCTCAAAGTCCATAGGCATGCTACTGCCTCAGGATCATTGCACTAGATACTTTCTACAGAAAAAAAATGTTTTTCCCTATAAATTCCATAGTTCTCTATCTCATTTTTGCTTTTCCCTGCTGACATTACATGAGTACATATTTTCTTTATTTAGTTAGTTGTGTTGTCTATCTTAATAAAGAAAATATATACCTCATAACTTTAGAGATTGAGAGTCCTTTATTTATTACCTTTGAAAATGTAGAACAAAGTTAGATGTGTAGATTTTCGGACTCAATATCTGTTTAACCTGTAAATCAACAAACTTACAAGTGATTAGATGAAGTTTTGCTATCTAGCAACTCACTCATCTTGAAGCTAAGGGCAAGCTACCTCAGTCCCATTACCTATAACCATGAACAAAACACTGATGATTCCTGCAGCCATCCTACAGCCTCCCAGGTAAACAGAAACACATCAACACAAAAGTAATGAGTTTGCAGTTTAATATGTGACATGGAACAAAATTGCAAAATGAAATGTAAGTATAGACAGGGATGCTAAATCTGATGTGAAGGAGCAACATTATAAAGAGGGGAAGTCTCCTTGTTAAAAGAACAAAACTGACTTCCTCAGAGACTTCCTAAGGAATCAACAGTAAACCTGAAAAGACAACAAAACGTTCTTGATGTCGTTGCCCACTCAATATATCAAACTTGGATGCTATAAGAACATAAATGGTAATCATTGAAAATTACCAAAGGTGAGGCAAACAGGAAATTCTTGAGCAAAATCTGGTCTGCTTACGATGAGCACATGAAGAGAAACCAAAATGAATCCTACATTGATATGGGAAACAATGGGTCGCTTCTATGAAGTAAAAGTTATTGTAAGCTGAGGACAAAATTACTTAGGAAGAAGCAAGGAACCCCTTCTCCACTTGCGCTGTTGGTAAGCTCTGTGACAGACACTGCTGTGTGGCATCTGACTTGCAGCATCAATATCAAAGTTCTCAATCTTGCTGCATGTGCAGAATTTTAAAGAATAAGTGGCTATTCCATGGTGAGTTACACTAGGCTTCTCTGATCTTTTGAGAAAATTCAATTATTCCTTAATAATAGCATTAAGATTGGATAAATCAGACCGTATCCTGTCTTCACAGATCCTATTTATTCTTTAGGAAACTCTCTTTATGAGGACTTTATTCAAATTCAGTTATTTAATAATTGCTACCTTCCAGAAGAGTGAATGCTTCTTAAAATTCTTTTATGTCATTCATATAAGTCTAATAATGGTTTTCTCAAATTACATTCCAGTTATATGCACTGATCATGCTTTGAATATAAATTAAAAGAATTCACATTATTCTAGACATGACAGTTGCATAGAAAAGATTCCATTTTTCTCCAAAGTTGTAATAGACTAATGAAAAGGAGATACAAACTGCTATGTAATTGATGGTTGCTTTACTAAGGTAGTTTCTTGAAAGCCTCACAGAGCAAGCTAATATCAAGGTCCAAACAGAGTTATTAGAACGTGCTCCCATTATTTAAGATAGCTGAAAAATAATGGGCCACAGGAGAGTCTCACACCAATGAGATTCTCACTTCATACAACAGAAACAAAATGAAAAGGCCCTACTTAAATTATTACAACATACCTAATCCTATATATCTGAATAAATTTTGTAAAATTCTGGAACAGATATAGAAACAATCAACAGAGTAGATTCACTGAAGGCCCAGCTAAGGGGAAATGACTTCCTACCTACCTAGGAACAGGACGTGAATGTACCCTGTGTGGAAGTCAGCTCTAATGTCCTTCATGGAGCATATCCTTAACTGCAAAGATGTACAGAGAACAGAGCACTAGGTATAAACAGCATCTGTCGGACAGCATTTCGAGGCATGACTTTACAGAAGTAATATAATCTGGAGCCAATAATAACTCCTTCCTCTTAAACTTAAGATAATAAACTTCAAAGTGTGAGTAAAAACTAATAAGATACTAGTTTCAACTAATAAGATTCTTATCACCAAGTTCTCCTGTATGTTTGTGATGTCCCTGTGTATTGTTACTGCATGTGAACAGTACACGCCAGTTGAGAATACAGACTCTAGAGACAGACCCTCAGCCAAAAGATCAAAAGTTCAAGGCTTGCCTTTACTACAAAGTGAGTTCAGGGCCACCCTGGAACTTAATGATACCTTTCTCAAATTAAACATTTGAGAAGGACAAGGAAATAATTCAGTGGAAGAGCACATGCTTAGCATTTGCAAGATACTTATATTTGATCTTTAGCATCACACACAAAAAGAAATCAATGATAAATTCAGTTTATTGGATGCATGGTGGTACATACCTGTAATCCAGCACTTGGGAGGCTGAGGCAGGCTGAGGCAGGCTGTCCCAAGTTGGAGGCTAGTCTGAGCTACAGAGTGGGTTCAGATCCAAGCAAACCTGGGCTACTGATAGAAATTCCATTGCCCCCAATGGAATAGTGTAGACTAAATGTTCTGAATATAAAGGCAATATCATTACACCTTTACAACAAATATAACACAAATGAAAGGCCACCTGTCTGCTTTAAAATTGAATAAAATACGCTTCAAAATTACCTTTTTAAATTAAGAAAACATTTTGCTGGAGAATAAATTAATTAAAATATTTGCTTAGAGTCTATTGATAAAGAAAAGTGAAACAATGTTCCTGGGCATGTTCCTAGTTATGATTCTCCTTTAAATAGATACTTGTATGAGAGGTTCCATATTCGAGCCCTTAAAGAACACTCTAGGAAATTTAATAAATATTGCATCAAAAAGACAATGTTCTTTGCTACAAAATGCCCCCTAACGTGGCATCTTTTTCATGTTATGTCTCATTTCTGTCTCTGGCCTTCTGCTTGTGTCCATCAAGATAAGTAGGGCACTTTTCATTCACTTCCTATGTAGCAAGGGTCCCAGTCTCAGTTTCAAATGGGATGGATAGCTTGAAATCAAACCTCTTTAACAAATACATCTCTGAAGGTTTTTTCTCTGTGTGTTTTGTGATGGACATTTTTACTGTTCGTTTGTTTGAAGTTTGATCTCACTTTTCTGGATGTGTTTTCAGCTACCCATCGAGAGTGCCTGCTCCAGTCTTCAACTAATCTTTGCTGTTTGTTCAGCTGTAAACCACACCAGGAAGAACACATGGCACTGTCACAGCCACAGAAGGTGACCCAGATTACCCATCACTGCCTTAATGCTAGTGGTCTCACACAAAGGCAGCTGCTCTTTGCTTTGCAGTATTGATACTCAGTTGCAACAGACGCAAATCACATGGCCCCTTTGCAAGCGCACACATTCTCCCTGTCTTCATTTTAAATGTGTTCATAAACTGTCCTTCATAAACACACAGCTGGGGCCATTCTCCCCTGACTCACCACACTGCCAGATACCTAACAAGATTATCTCGGGGGCAAAATACATCATTCTTGTTTATATTTTGGGAATTTGGTGAAAATAATATCTTCATTCATAAAACGGAAGCACACAACTATATGACTATTTCTCTAGTGGTGGGGGGAAGAGGGACAGTTTTAACCATTCTCCTTTGGGAAGTATAGAGACCGTCCCTCTGATTATGAGAGCAACTGTAGCAATTCAGAATTATTTAACTGTGAAGACAAATAGATAGCATATGAGAATAAGAGACAATATAACTTATTAATAACATCATTTTAAGAAAGACCAACTTTATATAAAGTGCCAAAACTAACTCGTAAGTGTGCAAATACAACAAAATATTCTTTCTGCATGGCCCTTTCATTCTGCTTCATGCTCACTACTCAAGAGATAAAACAGTTTGAGAATGCAACTACTCCTTAGCGTAAATCACAAAACCTGGACTAAAAGCGCTGACTCAGTGCACTTGCTAACGATTATAAGAACACTTACACGCCCTTTCTTGTAACTACACGCAAGAGAGCTAAGAAGCAAGTTCAGCAAGTGGGAAGGGCTTACTCTTTATGCAGATGAGCAGTGAGAAACTGAGGTAGAAGATGAGAAGGTAGTCGGTTTTCCTGGGCTTCATGGTCTTAGACAGCACCCTCTGAAGTGCTGCTGATGCTGTCCCTGTCTGGCTCAGGCCTCTTCTCTGCCTCAGAGAGGAGCAGGTGCATCAGAGACTCAGGATGCCATCCCTGTCCCAAGCTTCCACAGCTCCTCCACAGACTTAGATTCAAAAAGCACTTGTGCTTCCTCCCATCTCACTGAAACAGGAGGATGGGGTAATCAGTCAAACCTGGAGCAGATTTTTTCCAGTCTGGACTGGATTCATGCCCCTTCGGGCATTTCCTACCAGTTTTCTTGCCTCCTGGAAAGGATCCACTGTGGGATAGGGTCTTGCTCTTAATAGAGAAATTAATTTCTTGTCACAGTCTTAGCACATGGTTATTCTGATATGGCAACTTTTAAAGAAACACTCTAGAATTCTGTATATTTACATTAGTTTCCAAAACCCAATTTACAGAAATGTAATTTTCTTCTGTTTCTAAACCCTACAGTAACAGTTCAGTAGTGCTTTTGGTGTTGATAGGGTAGAAAAATTGTAAGAAAAAATAAGCTATCACATTAAATGAGTAGAATTATAGAGACGTGGGGGTAGTTTTTCTATTACAAGTGTTTACACTCTGCTCTTGAAATTACATCCTCTGGGATTTCTTAAGCTATTTCTTTGCCATCATTAATTCATGCAAATTAATAGGTACATAACAAACCCTATAGTTAAAAATGGAATGCCTGATTCTGTGATTGGTATCTGTGCTAGTACATGTCTGTGCTTTTTGTATAATAAAAGCTGGCCATGCAGCTTAAAATGCAATTCATATGACTGATTCTGTGTTAATCTTCATAGTTCAGTTAGATGTTTAATGACACAACATCTATTTTGAAGATTTTGTATTTCCTGCCCATCTATAAAGAACCCATGGTATTCTTATAGCTAACTTAATATTTTTTGGCAATGATATTCTATGACCTCTCTCAGAATATTTTATTTGATAAAGTAGAATTGACTCATTTAAAATGATTTATTTTAGTTTTGTGTTGGGACATGTGTCTATAGTCTGAAATACTACGGAGACTGAGGTTGGGTGATCACTTGAGTCCATGAGTTCAAGACTAGGTTGGGCAACATAGCGAGATTCCATCTAAAAGATTATATATGAAATATTTCCTTAGATTTCAGCTCCATGGAGTAGGATGATCATGCTGGTCTGACATAGAGGTTTTCCAGAATGAGATTCTTAGAAAAGACATAGAGACACAGAATGATGACAGAAGGGCATCCACACAGTTTACTACTACTACTACAATAATAATAATAATAATAATAATAATAATAATAATAATAATAATAATAATAATTTCCTAGGTTTTAATAGGGAGACTTTAGGAAAATGGCTGTTATGAAATCAGAAAATAATTCTGGGAATACAGAATGTGTACTCTGTCGTTTTCTGGTTTGGGTATTAGGGTGAAAATAGCTTCACAGAAGAAGTTTGGGGTGCTCCTTTTGATCTTTTGTTTCCTTTTGTTTCCTCCTCCTCCTCCTCCTCCTCCTCCTCCTCCTCCTCCTCCTCCTCCTCCTCCTTCTCCTTCCTTTTTCTTCTTCTTGAGTAGTTTACTGTGGATTATAGATCTTAGAATGTCTAACAGAATTCTGCTGTGAACCTGTCTGGTCCTGGACCTTTGTTGTTGTTGTTGTTGTTGTTGGAAGTCTTTTCTTGCTATGTTACTTTTTCAATTTCCTCATTTGTTTTGAGTCTATTTAGGGAGTTGACATCTTGGTTTAATTTTTGTGATTTGGCTGCCTCTAGAAAAATCATACATTTCTTTTAGATTTTCTAGCTTAATGGAGCTCAAGATTTTAAACAGTCCCTTATAATAGTCTGAATTTCTTTGGTGTCTGCTGTAATTTTTCCTGTTCATTTCTGATTCCATTAATTTGGATGAATCCTCTCTTTCTTTCTTTTTGTTAGTTGGAACAATGGTCTGTCATTTTGGTTTATATTTTCAAGGAACCAGCTTTTAGATTAATTGGGGGTGTGGGTTTTTTTTGTATTATTTTCTTTGTTTCTATTCTGTTGCTTTCTGCTCTGACTTTTATTATCTCTGGCCATCAATTGAGTTTAAATTTGGTTTGTTCTTATTTTTTCCGTGTTTTTGAGTTGCATCATAAAACCATGTATTTGTGTTCTTTCTGGTATTTTTTAATGTGGACACTAAGAGTTACAAATTTCTCTTATAGGGATGCTTTCACTGTGTCCCAGAGGTTTGTGTTGTGTCAATGCTAGTGAAATCAAGGTTATTGGAGGAGAATCCACAACCACCGAGTCACTAAATCAGCACAATCCCTAACAACAACAACAATCTATAAACATTTGTCTTTAAACCCATAGATGGGATTAGTCTTCACTCCTCACCAAGAAAACATCTGTTTGCAATGGATGGAGACCACTACAGAAAACCACAGCCAATCAAAATGCAGAATTGCCGGGCGGTGGTGGCGCACGCCTTTAATCCCAGCACTCGGGAGGCAGAGCCAGGCGGATCTCTGTGAGTTCGAGGCCAGCCTGGGCTACCAAGTGAGTTCCAGGAAAGGCGCAAAAACTACACAGAGAAACCCTGTCTCGAAAAACCAAAAAAAAAAAAAAAATGCAGAATTATGGAGCAAAGTCCCAGTGGATACATCTACAGAACACCCCCACACCTACAGTTCAGGCAACATTGCGGAAGAGGTGGCAGAAGGACTATGAGAACCAGAAGTCTGGCTGTGAGATTATGCTTCCTAGTAACATCAGAAACTACAGCCATAAAGTCTTACCAACATATCTGCCCAAATGTGAGCTGAACAAGGCTGACATTAGTGAGCACAACTAAACAGCAAAAATCCTATGAAGCCTCAACCTACACAGAGAACTACAGGCAACTGAGTAAATCTGAAAGTGGGAGACATGGGAAGAGCAAACCAATTGGTTGTTCAGTGACAAATAGTTAACCCTGAAAACATATCTACAAGTAACATTATATGGACTCAACAGGTTACATTTAGGAATATATATGCATAAGCAAATACATATACACATGCAAGAACAATTAATGAAAAAAGATGCCATGAATTTGAAAGAGAGTTGGGAGGGTTACATTGGGAGGGTTTGGGGAAGGAAAGGCAAGGGGGAAATGTTTAAATTAACATAAAATCTCAAAAATAGACAACATCATCATTAACAAAACAGTAAGACATAGGTACAGAAAACATTTCCTAACTACGTAGGGGAAAAGAAGAATTAAAGCAAAAGAACCAGGGTGATGGATAAGTATGCAAGAACTATTCTAAGACAGCATTCCAGTCCCCAATTCATACTGCTTTGGTAAAAACGTAGGTAGATGTGTAACACTAAGCCAGCAGTTCCCTAATGACTGTAGCTGAGCATCTGGATAACACAGATGATTGACAGGCAGATGAGTCCTAAGTTCTCCAAAGTAAACATTATTCTCCAGTAATCAAGATGCGCTGCACTATGGACTCTTCCTTATAATTACTAATGCTCATTTCCATGCATATAAGTGACTGAAACACATTAATGCTTGGTAAGTATTTCTTCTTTGTCTAGATTCACATTTAAAAGAGACTTCTTAGATTATAAGTGACAGGTCCCTTTAACAACAGAAAGAACTCAGCAGAACAAGGTTAAATAGGATGGAACAACAGTGGTACAGGGCCCAAAGACTAAGAATTACATACACTTGCATCATGATGATTCCATTGAAATCAATTAATTACAGTGAGTTTTCAGGTCACATTCCAAGGGGCGGGGGTCAGAGTGGCCAGGCTAGAGGACAGAAGTGTTGCCCTGAATGACAATCCAGACGTACAAAGCTACAAGAGGAAAAGTGATAATTCCTCAAAAGCGTTGAACATGCTCCTGTCAGATCAAAGTTTAGTGGAGCTCAGCAATTAGAACAAATGCCCACCACACAGCTCAAGAAAAAAAAAAAAAACTGCAAATCCATCACAGGCTCCAGCATCTATTACAGCCTTTCAAGTGAAAAAGAATCTACTGCAAAATTATTATATATCAAAATATACCTTTTCTACTTATGAGTTCTGCAGAATTTGATAAAATTTCTAGAAATATAAGTATTACAAGTTGTCACATGAGCAAAATAATTACTTGATTATTCTATTGGTTTTATTAAAACTTGATTATTCTATTTGTTTTATTAAAACTCTATTACTGCCTTTCGAAATTATTATATTTTAAAATACATGTAAAACGTTTTTAAAATTTTTTATTTGTGTGTTCATGTGTGTGTGTGGGTACACACATGTGTGTGGGTGTATGTGGAGGTAAGAGGACAACCTCAAGTGTCCTTCCTTAGAAGCAGTCCTTCCTTTTGGAGACAGTTTGTCACCGGCCTAGAACTCACCAAGTACATGAGGCAGACTGGCTAGAGAGCCCCTGAAATCCATCTGACTTTGCCGCCTCACAGTTGGGTTTACAAGAACATGCCACCCTGCCTGGCTTATTTCCACACTGCTTCTGGTAGAGAATAAAGATGTATTTCTAATAACCAATGTGTAGAGTTTTATTAGCAGCTCCGGTCTTAATGAATGAATCTATGTCTCTACTCAGACATGAAAAAGCGCTGAAGCATTTTTGCTCTCTCAATGATCATCACCACTAAGAAGTAGGACACAGCAACAGAACCTGAGAGTCGAGTAGGAAGATCAATGTGGAAAAAAAGAATTGCACTGTCATAAATCACTGTGACAGTGCTGAGGACAGAAGAGAAACAGTTCTGAGTTGTTGTCACTCTTGACATCAATATTGATTTCTAAAGTCTTTTGTGGGCTAAAACCTTCAGTTTCCTTGGCATTTAATATCTTTCTACAATGATTCCATAGAACATGTGTGAGCATTGCTCTTGACAATGGAGGATAATGAGCACAGAAAAAAAATCCCATGGACGACCCTTGACTTGCTCTTGCAAGTGAGTGACAGCAAAGTGCGTGAACCAGATTTTAGGAAACCTTAAATCAACACACACGTTGGGACTTTCTTTCTATGAATTATAGCCATAAATCAATTTATCTAGCCTTCTGTAGAGGAGGAGAAAAGTTGTAGGGATTGAAAGGCTGAAGATTGTAGAGTAGAGCTTCAGGGATCAGACTTCTAGAGCACTT